CACATGGTGGGGCGGCGAGCCCCTGGAAGCAACCGTTCAACAACCAGAAGAAAGCAAACTGCGGCAAACTGGAGCTCAAGCCGAAGGCGATGTTCAGCAAGCTACCTGAAACTACCAAAGCCTACTATTTTTGTAGGGTCCCTATAAATTCTATGTTCAGCAAGCTACCTGAAACTACCAAAGCCTACTATTTTTGTAGGGTCCCTATAAATTCTATATTAAGGTTTATGATAAGGACCTACAAAAACAGTAGGTTATGGTAGTTCAAGGTACATACGAAGAGTCCCAGGGCGAAGACACGCTTGGGGCTCATTAAGTCACCCAGCAGGCCGCCCAGGAATCGCGAGGAACCGTAGGCCAAGGGAAAGAGTGACTGGAGCTTTCCGATTTCTGCCAAGCCCTTCCAACCCATGGCCTGTCGCAAGACAGGGGCTGTGTAACTCAAGCTTTGCCTCGTGAAGTAGCAGACTGAGTAGCCGAAGAAGCAAGCCCAGAAAGTGGACCACTTGGCCCAAACAAGCTTTGTGTTTATGGCCGTTGGCTCTTTGGCCGCCCGGCGCCGCAGATGTAAGCCGCTCGGCGAGCCGCTTGGCCCCCAGAACCATTTGGGCTTGCCCAGAACACGCCTTGCTTGCCCCTGACCGGTCACCGAGAACGCAGGGAACGAAAGGCGCGGGCTGGGACGGGGCCGCGCAAGCGTCTCGCCCAGCCCGGACTGACTCCAGATGCTCGGCAGTGGTTGCACCAGCGCCATCTTTATCCAAGAAAACTAATTGGTAAGATATGTGCTACTACTTATTACTGGTTGCCGGTGTCACCTATTTTGGAGCTCTTGCGATGTCGACTTCAAACTGCTGCACCGGGACTTGTGAAAGTTGTTCGAGGAGATCAGCCGCAGCAGCTTGTGCAGCCAGCCCACCAGGGACAGTGGAAAGACAAGCAAAGGCTTAGGCACAAGCCTCTTTCAACCACATCCGTGTGCAGCTGGGGCACAGCATGGAGTACCGGGTGGAATGGCTCATCATGAGCAGGTCAATGTAGTCCAACTCAAAATGTCTCAGCAGCCTTCGACATGCTTACCAGACTCGGATATGAGACACAGAGGTGCCTCCACTGTACATGTACATGCCGTGCAGGCACTGTTGGATTGCACGTTTGGCGCCCAAGGGGTAGCTGTCCGCCGGACCTTCTCAGAATGGCTTCAATTCAAGCCGCTGACACAATCGACCTAGGCCCTACGCTTGGCTCTTCGCCCGGGACCGGGGCCGCCCCCGCCCCGCCCGGGACCAAGGCCGACCGGACTGGGCTTCGAGCTGAGCCGACAGGCAAGGAAGATCTGCTCTCGCGGGACACCTCCGTCAGGCCAAGGCTGACTCAATTCGAATCGGGAGAGAACAGCAGTGGGCCTGAATCCCGAATTGCCTTGCTGACTTCCGTCTCGCTGCCGTGGTACGGTGCAATGTCGATGTGTCCTGACTGGGCTGTGCTGCAAGATTCCGAGTCTTTCTGAACAACAGCCAATGCTCAGGTTCAGACTGTACCCGGTGTTGATCGCTTTAAGCACCTGCTTGTAGACGTCGTTCGTCGGTTTAAGAGGTAGCCGCCACACCTGCCAGACCTTGCAGTCACGAAGTGTCGAACCTGCACCGTTCTCGTGAGGTGACACAAAAATGCAGTCGAAGCACACTGAATATCAGAAGCGGCCTTGCGTGCTCTGAGATCAAGTCATCTAATGGTCATCCACACTCCACGAAAGACTTCTGAAATTAGGATGTTCTGAAAGATCGTCGGCTCCGACCTATCACCAGCGCTTCACCCAACACATCTTGGCATGGACATGTTTTTCTCAGAGCTGCCGACCGGTGAGCTAAGCAAGAAAATCCACCTGTTTCTGTTTCTTCTGACCCCCATACGGCAGCATCATGCTGACATGCTCACATGCTGATGCGGCACGCACATGCACAGTTAACGCCAAAGTGACACAGACAGCAAGATGCAACGCAAGTGCTGGTGCTTTCCCCATCCTGGCTGCTCATCGAGCCGCATCGGCGAACCGTTGGCAAGGGAGATACGGGCGCCGACGTCACCAGCAGGAAGCTGGAAGGATCTCCCTGCAGACATTGGACTCGCTTCGGGGGTGCAAGTTAGATTGCGTTGCGATTTCTCGTGAGTTTGCTTCGAAGCTCGGCTGACCTATAGCCCACTCGCCATCTTCACAACTTGCCAAGTTTCACGTGCCTGCGAAAGGAACATGAAGCCCGTGGTTTGTCAGAGCAAGCTGCAGTTGGCTGCCCAGCCTTTGCAGGAAAAACGACAAACATTGGCCTCAATGTACAGCAGTGGGTGCGAACCAGTATCTCACAAAATCTAATTTTGGAGGCGATAAGATGCTATGCCACCAAATGGAGTTTCAGAAAAAATAAGCGGATGACAAAAACTAGACTAGTCATGTTGTGCGTAAAGGCATTGGATTTGTCCCACACCGCCACGCCCAGCAAAACCTCAACGCCCGCGCCGCCTCTGCACCGACTCAAGCCAGAGGAACACCGGGAGACCCAAACCCTAAATCCCAAACCCCAACCCGAAGCATCAATATAGTAACCCACCCTCTCCGCACATCCGGCGGGGCGGCCCGCCCGAAGCTGACACAGAAGCTTTTAAGAAAACATCGGCCATGTATATATGTGTTCAAACACAGCATGCTATAAGCAAGACCAAAAACTCAGAATGTTGGAGGTGTTGTCTTCAAAGTACAGTGGCTTCGTTTTGAAACACCATGCCGAAACGGGGTTCGCGAAGAATTGGCCTTGCAAAATGCTTCAGTCGGTAAATGTACTAACTTCCCCACATGTTTTCATCAAGAGTCTGGTACTCGCCAGCAACGAGCCAAAGCTGTAGCGACCGCAAGAGGGCACGCGCAGTTCCGCTCATCTCCTGCCAACCTACATGCCACTTCTTGGCATCATTTCCTGAGGTTGCAAAGGAGCTTAGGGCAGTTGTGCATAGTCCGACAGGCTGACTCCCATCTGCCGCCGAGGAACCAAGCCAATACATGAACTCATGCACGGCCACAACCTGTTGCACCTCCAGAGCAGCGAAACCCGCAGACCTGTTCCTCCTAAACCCTAAACCCTAAACCCTAAACCCTAAACCCTAAACCCTAAACCCTAAACCCTAAACCCCTAAACCCCTAAACCCTAAACCCTGTTCACCCGGAATCTCTCCTTTTGAGCGGACCTCGCGGGGTGTGAGCCGCAGCCGGTGAGCCGGGCTTGCATGCTGAATAGCTAAACCTGAGTGGCTTAGGGTTTCCGAAAATAGGGGGACCCTAATATAGTACCCTTAATAGTAGGATCCCTATTAGGGACCCTCATATAGTACCCTAAATAGTAGGATCCCTATTATAAGGACCCCAAAATAAGGTACCATAGGGGACCCTAATATAGTACCCCAAATAGTAGGATCCCTATTATAAGGACCCCAAAATAAGGTACCCTAATTCTCTGAAACTCCCGAGTGTGAAGACAGGACCTGCACAGAGGCACCAAGTCTCCTGAGCAACCGAGAAGCGAAGGTTGTTCCATGCGTATCGCCACGCCGAGGCCACGCCATGCCACACGTCAATGGAAAAGGGGCACTCCGAGTCGTCGGATTTGTCCTCAGGCATCTGATTGCTGCGGTGGGTTGGGTGGAGGAGGCAGGTACTGTTTCAGTTGTTGCGGAAGAGGGTCTTTGCTTGGCTATTGGGGCAGGGGTTGTTTTCTGTTGTTGGGGCGAGAAGGTTCGCGTTCTTTTGGTGTTCGGACAAAAAGGCTTTTTTTTTGGTTGGGGCCGGGCCGGAAGCGGCCGTTGAGTCACTCGCAAGCTTGCCGGGACTTCTGCTGCAGTGCACAACGGCAATACAAACGCAACATCAATTCCAGCAAATCAGCATCACGACTCAACAACTTAGGACTGGGCACAAGCTTCAGGCACCTGGCCAGCTGCCCACAACGCAGCCTCTGCAAAGGGCGGCGAGCGATTGGCGCAGCGACCAGCCGTGCCAGAGGCACAGCGTGCACTCTGGTCTGCCCACGAGCTGCCTCCAGTCAAGTCGACAAACCGCCAGGAAAGTCCACAAGATTGAGCACGAACGGTCACAAAGCTTGGACGGGAACCTGCAAACGATGCTGTCGCCGTTGCAAGCGAGGCGAGAAGCACTGGGTGTGTCTCCGCCCTCATTCGCGTCCAACTGAGAAGCAGGGCCAATCATGGCGTCATGAAGGGCTGTCGATTTAGGAGCCTCTGTCTTTGATAATGTGAGTCGACTCGTTGTCGTGAGATACGACGAGTTGCGTAAACGATGGCTCCGCTTAAACGATCTTAAACGATTGTCCCGGGATGGAATCGCGAACAACTCCTGATTGGCTCAAGGCAGAAAGCAGCCTTCGAGCCAAGCACGGGTGAGGCAAAACGGGAGGAATCTCTCGGCCGAGCAGTGACTTGGCCGTTTACCCTGTAACCTCATGCAAAATATGCGCCAAACTTCGGGTTTGCACCTTCCATCTCCGCTCCATTTTCCGTCAAGGCCAGTGCCTGGTGAGGGAATGCAAGTCCTTTCACACTGCCTGAAGAGCCGCGCTCACCAACCCTCTGAAACGACACCCCCACGGCGCACGGGTCGTCATGGCCTCTACCACGAAGCCCGTTCTGAGAATTGGAGCAGCATCCGAAACGCGAGCATGGCACTTGGAAGCATGGGTCTGCAATAGCGGTGGTTAGGATAACCGGGCTGCGAGAAGCTGAGACTTCTACGGCCTTCTGAGCCAATGAGTTCATGAACAAAGCTACGTTCTCTCCACTGCGAGGCTGCCTGTGCAATAAGGCCATGAAGATGCCTTAGGTTTCTTTGCGATTTAGCTGAAGCCACAGAAAAGCAGAACAGGAACCGATAGGGATACCGTAGTAGGCAACATCACTGACACAGCTCCGGCATTGTGTGCATCGAGGCAGACGACGTCCTGCCGGGAGGACGAATTTGTCGAAAGGTTCAAGGAGTGGTGTGACCTCACCCATGGCGGATGCGGCGCGCACCCTCGGTTTTGACAAATCTGCATGAGTACGGTGATTTGAGGCCGTCACGAGTCAGAAAGCTCCCATGCCGCACCACCTCTAGCGCGGTGATCTTGCCAGTGTTGACTAACACTAACAGTGCACACAAATCTGCCAAGACCAAGGGATTCACCGCTCAGAGGTGATGGCGCGGACGAAGGGTTCCTGCATTGAGCTGATGGAGTGTCGTTGTCGCAGCGTTGCCCTCATCGCCTGAGCCTCCGACTCCAGAGAGCCCCGCATATCGACCGTAGAGGGAGCCGGGGACCTGAAGTGTCAAGCTGCAGGCGTCACATAGAAGGCAAACCCGCCCACTCACAGGCGCGAAGATAAACTCGAACTCTAACTCTGCAAGAACATGAGGACTCATCCGACTGCGGCAACATGCTGCGGTTCCCTTGTCAGATTATTCGACATTTTGCGAATGCGCGATTCGATTGTGGTGAGACTGTGAGCTGTCCCCTGGTTGGGCAATCTAGCAGTACAGAGGGAACTGGAGGCAACGATGCCGAAGGCTTCCTCAAATACAGACCTCTCAGTGGTCAAGCTCTTGCTGTTTTCGTGACAGTGCCGTCGCACTGAAGAACGCGCAAGAATCTGTTGAACGCACCAGAAGATATCGAGATCTGCAGAATTTGACAGGCCAGTTCCAGTCCAGAGAAAGCTTGGCATCCAATTGTTGTGCTCGGTAAGGGTTGAACACACATCGCGCCGCTCGCACGATGCATTCACTCCACTTGACTCCTGTCCCAAAGACAGCATTTACATCGAAATTCCAGGACTAGCCTTGTTTGTCTGCGCATGTTTCAGAAATGCAGCGCTGACCCCGAAGCAAATTTAGCAAGCTTTGCCTTGACTGAATATGCACTGTGAACACCGTTACAGCGCCTGCGCTTTTCTCTCATTACCGCCGCGGCTTCAAACAGCCGCGCCCCAGCTTTTGAATTATGGTGTTGAATCATACTTGAAGCAAAAGACACATCCATCAATCCATCCATCCACCCACCCACCCATCCATACTTACATTACCTTACCTTACATAACGTTACATTATAAATTACATTGCAGGTTGCATACATTACATGCAAAATTACATGACATATTTACAAATATAATTTGTTGTTACATACGTATTTCATACATACATATTACAAACATACATCCATGCATGCATGCATGCATGCATGCACACAGGCACACACCTACACACCCGCACACATACACACATACACAAATACACACATACATGCATACAATACAATACAATACCATACCATACAATAGAATATTACCGTAGAAGCCAATACAGGACAATACAATACAATACAATACAATACAATACAATACAATACAATACAATACAATACAATACAATACGTACGTACATACATACATACCTTTACGTACCATTACCATTACATACCATTACATACCATTACATACCATTACATACCGTTACGTACCATTATATACCATTACATACCATTACATACCATTACATA